TTTTTACAACAGAACCAGACAGGTTTATTATCCGAAATGCATAAATCCTTGTAGACAAATGTCTTACTCTGTTTTTATCTGAGCGAATAGAAAACTCCTCTGACCGGTATGCCGCTCTTTCGTCGTTGCGGATCCGCGAGCCCTTTAGCATTACCTCTAGTATTCAAATAGCAGTCGCCCATCCCACATCGCTTAGGGCGAATGGTTTAGTGGTATAATACTCCCTTAGCATGATTACATCGTCTGGGAGTGGTCCAGGGTTCGATTCCCTGTTCGTCCATCTTAGTGGTATCAATTCCATTGTTATACTTTTTTTTTTTTTAATATTTGTGGAACGGTATTTTTATTCTTTCCATAATATGTGAAGGCTGTCCTTTATGGGGCACTTTGCCATGTGAGACATGCATCTGATTGGGCGAATGGTTTAGTGGTATAATACTCCCTTAGCATACCTGCAGAACTGGGAGTGGTCCAGGGTTCGATTCCCTGTTCGTCCATTAACTGGTTGTGACAGCCGTCTCTGGCTTGCACCTACACTTTTTGACGTTCGCACTATTTTGATTTTGTTTTTTTTTTATTACGTTCCTTTTTTGGCTCAAACTCCACCGAGCTTAAGACGTCAGCGAGATGTGAATGGGAGTTGTTGCCAAAGTCGTCTGCCAATAAATGCTCATAGAATCTCAAGGAGGTGTCGCAACATCTGGTCTTGCGACTGTATTGAACGAACAAGATTTTTTTTCATAAACTAAACCCTTGGTATTAAAAAACAAGTCTGATGTTACATGTCGGCTTGTGGTAATAATTCCGTTGCGGTTGCCCCACCTGCACTTTGCATGACTGGCGGGGCACAGAAATTCTGAGGAGAACTGACAGACGTGAGCTGTGACTCAACGGTAATCCCATCTCACGTCCAGAATAAAGGACCATCACCGACAGCTTTTCGCTCGCTGGCACATCACAGTTCCCTCGTGAATCGAGACATACGAGTTCGATCCACCATGGCGTCACAGACTAGCAGCACCGCAGGAGATCTTGCCCACCAGATCCTCCATGCGCTGGACATGAAGTCACCCCTCCTTTCCTCGGAAGCCTTCCCCACGACGCCTTCAACCGAGGTGAAGGGCGCTCTTGACAGACTCGCTTCGCGTGACATGGTCAAATATGAGACCATTGATCGTGAGGAAGCTCTTCTGGAACCCGAAGGCGAGCAGATCGCCGCCAATGGCAGCCACGAGGTCCGCGTTTTTGAGGCGCTGCGTGTTGCAGTGGAGGGTTTAACCATTCAAGAGCTTGAGAAGGCTATTGGGGACAAGAATGTTGTCAAGATTGGTCAAGGCAGAGCTTTCAGGGAGAAATGGATCTCTAAAACCCAAGGTAAGGGTTTCCTATTCTCATTTACTTGTGGTATTTTCATGCTACAACATGGTTGCGGCGAAACCTTTGTGAACTGACGTGTTTGGGGCATGTCGCAGATGGCAAATTGAAGGCGGCCGTGAGTAGAATCCACGTAACTGGGTGAGCGACGGGTGTGATATAGGAGGATGAGGAATGGCTGACGTGGAAGCCTTGTCAATAGAAAGAATCTGTGCAAGACACGACCAAAGAGCAGATGCAGACCATTCGATCGACGCGAACGTATCCGGATGCCAAGACGCTGGCCGATTTGAAGAAGCGCAAGCTTGTGCGGACACAGAAGATCATCAGCTTCAGGATTGAAAAGGCCGAAAAATTCGCTCTCAAGATCCCCGAGGTCGCCACCGACTTGACCGCCGATATGATTGCTAGCGGCTCATGGAAGACTGCTAATTTCAAGGGATACAACTTCAAGGCCTTGGGTGCCGACCAGCAGTCTGGAGCTTTGCATCCTCTGAGCAAGGTTCGATCCGAGCTGAGGCAGATCTTCTTCGAAATGGGTTTCCAGGAGATGCCTACAGACAAGTAGGTCATGACTAGATATATTGGTTTTGGCTTCGTCGGGCGGTCGCTAACGTGGTCTCAGGTTCGTCGAATCTGGCTTCTGGAACTTTGATACGCTTTTTGTTCCGCAACAACATCCCGCCCGTGATATGCAAGACACTGTGCGTGTTCCTAGGATGCTGATCGAAGGGCTCGTCGCGATTGTCGATGAGGCTGGCTAATAGTGTTTGTAGTTCTATGTCGCTGATCCCATGGTGGCAGACTTGCCCAGAGCGGAAGATGCCAACGATAAAGGTGACTACAAGGCTTACTGGGATAACGTGAAGGAGGTCCATGAGGTATGATATGAAACAGAAACATGAAACAGAAGCATGAAACCAACACTGGACCTGGCAAACGTTCTAATTCATGGTTTTAGAATGGCAAATACGGGTCGATAGGTTACCGATACCCTTGGTCTGGAGAGGAGACTCGAAAGCTGGTACTTCGAACGCACACCACAGCCATCAGTGCGAATATGCTGTACAAATTGGCTCAACAAAAGGGCCCTGATGGCCGCCCACCCCCGGCTCGCTATTTCTCCATCGATCGTGTGTTCCGCAACGAGACAGTCGACGCCACTCACTTGGCAGAGTTCCATCAGGTTGAGGGTGTCATTGCTGACTATGACCTGACCTTGGGTGGCCTCATGGAAGTAAGTCATCGGTGGAAAGCTGTCCTGCCCTCAGTCCAAGATTACGAGAACAAGGTTACTAATCTTGATAGTTTATGGATATTTTCTTCGGCAAGATGGGCATCACCGATCTCAAATACAAGTGTGCCTACAACCCTTGTAAGTGACCTAGATTGTACTTTCTTTTTTTCTTTCGCGATGACGATTGACTAAAATCGGCAATTACTAGACACGGAACCTAGCATGGAAATTTTTTCGTATCGTAAGTTCCTCATCTTTGCGGTATTCTGAAGAGCAGCGAGAGTGGAAGGCATGGCTAAACCCATAATAGACAAGGGCCTTGGAAAGCTAGTTGAGATTGGTAACAGCGGCATGTTCCGAGCCGAAATGCTGGAATCCATGGGTCTTCCGTAAGTGACGAGAAGTCTTTGTTTTTCTATTGTCCAGGGAAGAAAGACGAAGCTGATTTGTCCATGTAGCAAGGATATGCGAGTGTTTGGCTGGGGTCTGTCCCTTGAACGACCCACCATGATCAAATATGGTATTTCCAACATTCGCGAGTTGTTGGGTCACAAGGTCGATCTGAACTTCATGCGCAACAGCCCCGCAGTGCGTCTGGACAAGGAATGATCAAGGTGATAGGGAATGAAGAAAATAATTGAAAAAGAATCAAGACATCCGGCACGACATGATGGGAAAAGGGGAAAGTCGGGTATAGATATACGACATGTCGAGACGGTGGTTGAATATCATCATGACTGATAGAGGCGACATATTGATGTTTGATGCCACACCTCTCAAGTCTTCCATGTGACACTTCACTGTACATGTGTTCATGCATGGTTATAGAATTCAGCCTTCGGGAACGCAACTGGATTGCAATCACTTGTTGGCACATGTAAATGATGACATCCGTTCGAGAACGAGGCACACGTTGAACAGCATCACATGCGAAAGCAAAACTACATGTCATGCTGCTATTCCACGTGGTTGTCATGGTCATCACCCAACTCAGAAAACAAGGCTAAGCATCACCACCACCCCGCAAGTCGGTCAAAAACGACCAAGCCCATTTGGGGAAGAGAATCCCCTCAGAAAAAAACCCTCCTTGACCGGATCTCGATTAGCACCAGTGCATCATTCCGCGGTCCTCGCACGGCAACGCGCTGCCCGAACCTTCCCCTGCTCCCGCCTCCACGAATAGGAAGACGCTGCCCCACCATCAAGCTCGATTCCGGATGTCGTTGTCATGACATCATCATCATCATGATCGTGTACTTGCACTTTTTAGTTTCCCGTTCTTCTCCTCAGCAACGAACAGCCCACGGACCACAATAAAACCTAAAATTCCTCCATTATAAAGGAGTCAAGCCTCCTGCTGCTGATTTTTTTTTTTGTGTGTTTGTGTTTCCTTTCCATTGTCCAACCCGATTTTCATCATCACATTACAAAAAAGTGATTCTTCATCGTCATCACCACGCCACGAAAAGACTTTCGATTTTTGTGATTGAAAAAGGAGAGAGAAAGAATACACCCATTCAAAGTTATAGACATGTCTTTCCTTACAGAGCGGGTTCTCCGAGCTGCCTTGCCCTTGGGCAGAGGTTTGGCTGTCCAGGCACCCCGCGCATTCAGCACGTCGCCTGCATTGAGGAAGACGCCCACAGAGACTGTCAAGGATGGGATGAAGTCTGTGGATCGGGCTGTGACGGATAATGTTGTTCTTCCTGGTCTTGATGCCGCTGGTGGGTATTCTCATTTTTTTTTTTCCTTTGTTTCATATATACAGTTCGACATTGGCATTCTGATATGCGTGTTACTGACTTTTTTTTTTTTTCTCTCGAAATAGTCTCAGCGGGCACTAAAGTCAAAGAAACTGCCGAGAGCGTCACGAAAGGAAATAAAGGCAAGGCCGAGGAACTGAAAGGCCAGGCACAAGGCAAGGTCGAGGAACTAAAAGGTCAGGCACAGGGCAAGGCGGCGGAGGTCAAGGGCGCGGTCAAGGGCGCTGCTGCTGAGACGCGAGGCAAGGCCAAGGGCGCGGCGGAGGAGATGAAGAAGAAGTTGTGAGGATTCTGCGGATGCGGAGGAGGACATTGTGATGTTGTAGGAGTGAGGGAGCTTGTTTCTGGACGGCGTTTTGGCTGATTTGTATGGCGAAAGTATATTTCATAGCATGAACCATCTAGGTTTGGGGATCCGATGGTTGTAGCCAATCTTTTATGTTCTTGCTTGTGAAATGTTGGATTTGAAACACATATTACGGCATTTATGGGATGATGGAACTGGGTTCGAGTGTGGAGATGGCATGTATTGACGTCACATGTCCTTCTTCGTGTTCACTTCCAAGTTCCAACACTGCGAAATGAATGACGGAGATGTGTTTTTGGCACCATTCCGCGAGTTCGAAAACACGTGCACTTGATGATTCCTTTTCAGGTGGCTATTTCAGAAGTTTTCGAGAAGGACAATCGTTTCCGGCCCCTCACTGCACTGGTCTTGGTTGGATTAAGAAGATTTGACAGGTCGACTTTTTTTTTTTTTTGTTCCTCTCCAAAATCTGCACATACTTGTCACTGCATAAAGAATGCGTTACTGCGGATTGTTTTTTTCCTCAGCAAAACATAGGGTAAGTTGGCATTTCGCCCCACCAATTCACTTCGCGGCGGCAAAGATGACGATGACTTGTACTAAGGATCCATGCTTCCCCACCAGGTTTCCCGAGGCACGCGGCACGAGGGGAAACTTGCTTCTCACATCGTGCATTGCGTACCTACTTACTTGCCCCTTGATATCAGGTTCGCTGGCGCCCTGCCACGCCGCAGCCCGGACAGCCCCGAAGCGCGGTCAGGACGACTGATACTATCCGTGGTTCTATCCGAATGAATTAAAGTCCGGTCTCAATCA